TTTAGGTGTAGGGGTTCAGGGTGTAGGGCTTAGGTGTACGAGGTTTAGGGTTTTGGGGCTTAGTTATGGGTGAGGGTTTGAAATCCTGTACCCTAAACCCTAAACTCTAAACTCCCTAAACCCTAAACTCTAAACTCCCTAAACCCTAAACTCTAAACTCCCTAAACCCTCTCTCAACCGTCTACACCCATGAACCTTCGACCGGGTTTAGGGAAGTTGGTCCCCTCGTCTTCCAACCCCGGGTCAAAAGCGCCAAAGGAAGCGACGGATGCAGTGCTCTGGGTGCCCTAAACCCTAAACCCTAAACCCTAAACCCTAAACCCTAAACCCTAAGCCCTTGACCCATAAAGCCTGAAGCCTAAACCCTAAACCCCTGAACCCTTAACCCCTAGCCTCAAAGCCTAAAAGCCTGAACCCTAAACCCCTGAACCCTTAAGCCCTAAGCCCTAAAGCCTAAACCCCTGAACCCTTGACCCCTAGCCTCAAAGCCTAAAAGCCTAAACCCTGAAACCCCTAAACCCTAAACTTTTAGGGGTTTAGGGTTTAGGGTTGGCCCTAAACGACATGTCTCGTCCAGGGTACAAGCATGAGATCCCCTCCAGCCTGGAAGATGAAAAATAGCTCCAGCTTTCAATTGTCACTCGTAAAGCGGTGTGGAAACCGCAAACCTTTAGGGTTTCGGCTTTAGGGTATAGGGTTTAGGGGTTTAGGGTTGAGGGTTTAGGGTTTCGGGGTTTTGGGTTTCGGGCTTAGGGTTTAGGGTTTACTTAGGTGCATAAACTTGTTTTTTTTCAGGTACCGTGTGAAAGGCCAGTAGAGAGTGGAGCCCTAAACCTTATCTCTACGTCAAAAAATGAGAGGTCATGCTTGTTAAGGCATCAACGGAAGGGGGTTTCCTTAATCAGGGGTCTGCTCTTATGCGCCTAGTTCTGAGCTGCAAAACAAGGTGCTGCATTAAAGAAGCTCCGGAGAGAACGGTGTAAACTCTAAACCCTAAACCCTAAACCCAAAACCCTAAACCCTAAACCCTAAACCCTAAACCTTAAACCCTAAACCCTAAACCCTCACTGAAGAGAACGGTGTAGGGTTTTCGGTTTGGAGGTTTAGGGTCTAGGTGCATGATGTCAGAGTTCAGACTTTCGGAAAGTCCGAGTGGGCCTGCAAGTGTTCGAATTGTTACAAGGGTAGTTTTCTACAATAGGGTCCCTTTTTGGGTCCCGAATATAGTGCGGCACCCTGATCATAAGCACCCCAAAAGGGACCCTGATTTAGAAAACTACCCACAAGTTTTCTTGTATCTCAACTTAAGACCTAAACCGCAAACCCTAAACCTGCCGAAACAACCCCCCCAAAAAGCTGTTTTGTTTCAGGAGCTGCACAGGGATGCCATCATAAGGAACAAGGGTTTAGGGTTTTTAGGCTTTAGGGTTTAGGGTTTAGGGTTTTTAGGCTTTAGGGTTTAAGGTTTAGGGCCTTTAGGCTTTAGGGTTTTTATGCTTTAGGGTTTGGGGTTTAAGGTCTAGGCCCTATAGGGTTTAGGGTTTAGGGCTTTAGCTTAGGCTTCAGGAACTTTCTTGTCCCTTGCCCCCAAAACTTCCATGTGAACCTCATAATTAGGTACTTGGGGTCAGGATAGTATTTTCAAATAACCCTAAAACCCTATAAGCCCTAAACCCTAAACCCTAAACCCTAAACCCTAAAACCCTAAAACCCTATAAGCCCTAAACCCTATTTTTTGTAGGTTAGCATTTGGGAGAGTATGTGATTATTAGGTACAGGCAGGCTGTGGGTTTCTGGGTTTGGGGTTTTGGGGTTTCCATGTTCAGGGTTTAGGGTTTCTGATTTAGGGTTTAGGGTTTAGGTTTGGCCCTAAACCCTAAACCCTAAACCCTAAACCCTAAACCCTAAACCCTAAACGGTTTAGGGTTCAGGGTGAGGCTTTGCAGGGAGGGGGCCCCCAAACTCAAAGCGCCCACCAAGGCCCGTTCGTGGCGCGCCGCGGTGAGCGCGTGCTGGGAACCTGGTGGTGCTATGCTTTGGGGATTATGGGTTTAGGGTTTAGGGTTTAGGGTTTAGGGTGGGACTCGTAGGGTTTGGCAGGGTTTAGGGATGTTTAGGGCTACGGGGGGCGATCTCTACTTTACGGGATAGTCAAAAGATGTTAGTTTCAAGATACATGCACTAGCTATAACTAGAGGCACATCGTTTCAATAAAGGGGAATTGGAAGATCCGGGTATGTTGTTCATAGGCTTTAAGTGGCCAACCTAGATTTAAATCCCAGGCCCAGCAGCTCAACTGTTTCATGGACCCTCAAGGCCGTCTATGTCCATGGCTTTCAACACGAGACAAAGCTGGTTGGTTGCTGTAATGCTCATGATACTGAAATCCTTCCGACCTGGGACACGGCAGACCCTCAACATTCCTAAACCCTACGCCCTGAACCCCTAAACCCCTAAACCCTACACCCTAAACCCCTGAAGCCCTACACCCTAACCCCTGAACCCTACACCCCCCTAAAACCTGAACCCCTAAACCCTAAGCCTTGAAACCGCCTCCAAGCTTATGAAGCCCGATGACATCCTCTAACGCCTGCGAAAGGCTTTAACTAACGGTAAGCCAAATTCCTTGATGAAGGAAGGGTGTTCCTCTCAGGGATCTATGAGGATTGTATTACGGCTTAGGGTTTAGGGTGCCCAGATCTTGAAAGATCCCTTAACGAAGGAAAATGCATGAGACTTGTAGTAGGATGCTCAATATGATTGTAAGGGAAAAATGTATCGGGGAAGCCTCAACCCTAAACCCTAAACCCTGGTTATCGGGGAAACCTAGACGGGTCTTGGCCTAAACCCAGAGCCTCCAGCCCGAGCCCCGCCACTCCTGAAAGAGGCTTAGGGTTTAGGGTTTAGGGTTTAGGGTTTATAGGGTTTAGGGTTTAGGGTCTAGGGTTTAGGGGTTTAGGGTTTAGGGGTTTAGAGTTTAGGGTTTAGTATGAGACTGAGCAACGTCAGAAGGTCGCCGTCGGATCCACCGAGGCGCGTGAGGCACGCTGATTCTCGCTATCATGTCTTGTGTTGTTTCAACCTAAACCCCAAACCTGAAATCCACAGCCCTGAACCTTAATCCTTAAACCCCGAACCACTAAACCCAAAACCTTAAGTGTAGAGGTTCAACCAAGCAGGGTCGGCAGAGTTAGTACAATTAGTCCCAAAGTAGCCTTGTAGTACATTTCTCGTACATTTCTCATAGACTATAGACTATCCCCAAGGGTCCATGCGCCGATCTAGTATATTCTTTTTTTCTGAATTGATTGAGTTCCCTTCTAGGGTCCTTTTTATCAGGGAGCCGTGCTATTTTTGGGACCCGAGTTTAGAGAACTACCCATACATGTTGGCGCCAAAGTAACTATACTGTTACGACTTTAAGGCCAAAATATCTACTCAGACAGCGCATAATGCACCCCCCCCCCTCCAAAAAAAAGAGAAAACAACAACAAACAATCCTGTTCTTCAACCCTAAACCCTAAACCCTAAACCATGCCTTGTTGCCATCCTGACTTCATCGTATTCACGATCGGCTGTATTCAGTTCCCGAGGCTCAGAGAGCCAGTTGGGCTCGCTTTCAAGTCTGGTTTATGGTTTAGGGTTACTTGGAGGCCCAGGGGACTTAGTAAGTAGGTTAATAAGTCGAGTTATAAGTACCCTAAATGGAGTTACCCCAATTATAACCTTACTTATAACCGTCTTACTAAGTCCCCTGGGCCTCTAAGTAGGCCCGAGCACAGCAGCGAGCCCTGTCTTTCTTGGTCCGCCCGTTCTGCTCTGGACTGGCCGCTCCATTTAATCATTTCACGCTGGCTTATCGACTTCAATTCCTGGTTCTGGTGTTTCCCGCTGGTAAAGTTAGTTCTCATTGGCCGTTAGGGGGTCGGCGTATGTTACCTCCTCGCCGCTACAGCATATTCTCCGATGCTCCACTGAAGCTGGCTATGACTCGAATCATCGCTGCCGCGTTCCATTTACAATATGGATACCATCTTCATTACAGGTGGGTCTCCTTCTGCATAAGACGGTCTTCAAACTGGTACTGGCCTGTCATCCTCTGTTATGTGGGCTCTCACGCTGCTTGCAGTTGATGCCGCTTAAAGAGGCGGGCCGGGATGCTGCCGCGTTCCACTTACAACATGGATACCACTTACATTCCGGACTCTCTGCCAGGTACGTTTCTGATTATTCGTTCTTGATGAGGAGTTTTCGTGATGATGAGTGTGTGGCTACCAAATCAACGTGCTCACGGGCATATCTCCTTTCTGAGGCCATGTTGACGCCTCTGTTCGTCTTGCTGTTTTTGGAGGGTGTGTCTCATGGACCCACGGAGTACACGAAACCCGAGGCCCCCGATCAGTCCATGCCAGCCTAATACTATCATTTCGGCTAAGCAATCTCCCCTTCGCTAATTAGTTTCTGCTTGCGTCTCTTATGTTTGCTTTACATTGTCCATACCGTCCACTTCAATGAATGGCTGCTGCTGACGGTTCCCGGATCGGAACTTGCGCGGTTCGAAAAGTTGTCGGCTTCCTCGTGCGCGTCGCAACGGCCATGCGCATGTCCCCTCCCTCCACCTAATGCTGTAAATTAAACCTGAACCCCAAGCCTTCACCCTAAACTACGTCCATAAACCCCAATCCCTGAACATCCTACTCCCCAAAACCCCTAAACCCAAAACTTGAAAAAACTGTAAAGTCCTGTCACGCTTGTACCAAGACCTCCTGTGTTAGCCTATAAGGTGATCGGAATACCGTTTCGGGTAGCTCTGTTTCTGCTAGACTAATCAGAACCCATGAAAACCTGTGCCGGCAAGTAAGTCTTGTTTTACAAGGACAGTCGTGAAATCAGTAAAGCCCTAAGACGTTTAAACCGAAATCGCAATAACCCTAAACCATATATGCCCACACTCCCCCAAAAGTCCATGAAGCCTGGCCTGAGTGCGAGATGGACTGAAGGTCGTTAAATGAGCCCTACCGCTTCAAGATGCAGCAGGTGATCCAACAGGAACCTGCTTGCGAGGTTTCGAGTTTGGGGTTTCGAAGGGTTTAACCCTCAACCCTCAACCCTAAACTAGGGTTAGTTTAGACGTGAAAAGGCTTAATATCGTTTTCGCCCCAATCCCAGTTTGTCAACCTGTTGGGTTTTTTTTTATGAGGTGGTCCTCCTCGGTAGTTTGAACTTTTTCAACATTGCCACCCAAAGGTATGTAGCCTACACAAGTACTAAACACTAACATTATTCCTCAGGGTTCTTGTTACCGTTTGCAGTTATACGATAAAGGGGCCCAAAACCTCTCTTTAGTTTTTTTAAAGGGGTTATACTATATGTTTTGCAAGGATGTCGGTCAGGTCTCCATATAGATCTTGGTTTGCTTCAGGGTTTAAGGTTGAGCGTGTATGAGGGTTAGTAGGGAAATTTCTGTTTTCATTCCGTTGTAGGATCCTGGCTATACGCATGATTAGCCAAAAAGTGGTTACAAGTGATACCTTAAATAAGGAAAACTTTTCGTACAGCTCAGCAGTGTACGATTGCTGCTCGTCGCATGGGTTCACTCTTTACTAAAGCCTGGACCCAGAGAGCCCAATACTCCCTAATCAATCAAAATACCTTAAGTTGTAGGGGCCTGACTATTCTGATTTCAGGTATTTTCCTTAAGCTGGGCTTTTTGGAACGTCTAGACGTTAGGGTTAAGCTTCGAGACAGCTCCAGTTGGCCCAAGCGATTAGGGTGCTGTCGGTGTTCAACCTACCTTGATTCCAATCGCTACGCACTCAATCGCTAAGCGTAAAGCCTAGTTCCTGCTACTCTTGGGTGGACCTTTTTTCAGTGCGGTTTAGGGATTTGGGGATTTTCCAGGGTTGGTTTGATGGTTCCTGTATGGCTTTCGGCCCTAACCTGCAGAGTTTTCAGATCGAATTTAGGGCTTTAGAGGCTAGAGTCTACGATGTGGGGGGTATAGCGTTTCGGGTCTAACCGGTGATGCTTAGGTATATGAGAATCAGGCACATTGCAAACCCACACTTGATAGCTGTTGTCCCCTTATTGAAATCACTTGATTACTGGCCCATGAAGGAAAACAAGACAACACACAAGAGCGAGATATTGGCACCACCATACAGTGCTGCTGAGACTCAGTCGATGGATTTTGCGACAACCGGTACGGGCGAGATGCTGGCACCACCATACCCTGCTAGGATTGGACAATTCTATAGGTGATTGGTAGAACAGGATCTACAAAGTTGCGGCACCTAGGGAGTTCTCATTAGCGTTGACGTTTGGGGTAGCCCGTTCAGCCGTCGTGACTTCAATGTTTGCCATTGCAACTCCTGCTATGGTCCCAGGAGGAACTGAGATCAAAAGGGTTACATCCTTTGATCCTCTGCAATCGCCTGATTTTGGCGATTCCCGTACGGGTGAAACGCCGAGCTCTGAAGGAACTGGGGCGCAAGGGTCAGGACTTGCGCCGGAGAACGACGCCAACACCGGGAGTGAGACCGAAAGTGAATAGTGACCGGTTCTGGCTCAGTCGTGCTGTGGGAATTAGATATGTTAGTAATTCTGATGTATGCTGTTCACACCCCAATCCTGACTTCCCCACCCAAATCCTGTTCAAATTGTTACCAGGTTCTGTCCAAGGAGCCGAATGAAGGGATCAGGAAGTTGCCGTTGAGGCAGACAGTGCGGAGATGTGGACCCGTAGGGTGTTTCGATAATTTGCTGAGGCAAAGGTCAGCCCAGGAGAAACAGGAACTTCCGTTGACTATCAAGGTAGATCATAGGTTTTTTCACGGCCAAAAGGGCTTCACAATTAGGTAGTGGGGTTAAGGAAAATGGTTTCGTAGGTTAGAAGTTGGATGGGACAATCTATTTTCGGAACCGCTAGCGATAATACCCCCTTATAGTCCCTGACAAACAAGACCCTGTTCAAATCATATGAACTTACCTGTCCTACAACCTCTGCTAGTAACACTTGAAGTAACCCCTGCAAAGGAAGCCGTCAGGCCCCCTTCCAATCATCCAGACACCTTCCTTAAAAACCCTGAACCCTAAACCCTTGTAACTTATAGCTATTCGATATATACCGCCTCGAGTACAAATCTTCCAACCCTAAACCCAAGAAACACCCGAAGTTTCAAACCCAAAGCTAAACCCAAGAAGCACCCTAAACCCTAAACCCTAAACCTCAAGTCGAGATCCGCCGACCTGGGAGGACAACGAGGCATTCGTGAGGCGGCTGCTTGGTGTGGGGACGACCTTCGATCGCCGTAGCGAGGCTGCCCGTTTTTGTTACGATTTATGGGGGGGGCTTTCAGGGTTTAGGGTTTCAATGTTTAGGGGAGTTTGGGGTTTAGGGTGTAGGGATTGTGGGGTTTCAGGGTGTAGGGTTTAGGGATCCAGGGGGTTTCAGGTGTTAGGGATTACGGGCTGGGGCTTAGGGTTTAGGGAGTATGGGGCTTCAGGGTGCAGAGTTTAGGGTTTAGGGTTTAGGGTTTAGGGTTTAGGGTTTAGGGTTTCAATGTTTAGGGCGTTTGTAAGGCTTGGAAGCTATAGGGGTCTCACGCAGGTGTATAGTATAGTCATTGGCTTGGACAAATACTTAGAAGCCCGGGGGACTTAGTAAGTGGGTTATAAGTCGGGTTATAATCAAGGTAACTCCATTTAGGGTACTTATCACTCTACACATAACCTACTTACTAAGTCCCCTGAGCCTGCAAGTAGGGTATTGGAAAGGAACTCCGAATCTCAGTATCTAGTCCTTGTCAACACGTTCCAAGCCCAAGTTCGATCAGAAGCCCCATACACTTTTGAGAAGCCTCAGAAGCCTGTACGAGTACACAACACAAGCCCCAAAACCCTGTTCCAGAAGAATACGGCCCCTGTACAACCTTTAAAGGAACCCATTAAGGAAACCCTTCCAAGGAGTCTTCTATTCTTGCTATAAAGGCTATATTATATACTACAGGACTTCCCCATGGACCTGCAGTAGAAACCCATTCCAAAGAGCCCAATCTGCATCTCATAGGGGCCTGACTTAAAGTTTACTGCTCAACAAGGACCCCATAAATCCCTACAGAACCCAGTGCAAAACACCCCAAACCCAAAACCGTAGAACCTTCAACCCTAATCCCTAAATAGTCACCCCCAAATCCTTTATCCCTGAGTTGAAGACCTCGTAAAACCCTAAACCCTGAACCCATAAACCCTAAACCCCTAAACCCCTAATTCCCAAACCCTAACCCTAACCCCAAAGCCTGAACCCTTTTGGAGCTCTGATGGAGCATTGAGAGACCCTGCGAAAACCCTAAACCCCATAATCCCTAACACCTGAAACCCCCATGATCCCTAAACCCTAAACCCTGAAATCCCACAATCCCTACACCCTAAACCCCAAACTCCCCTAAACATTGAGACCCTAAACCCTAAACCCTACCCCCTAAACCCCAAACTCCCCTAAAGTGCAGGCCCGTGACTTCAATCGGCACCGGAGGTCGGCTGCTTTCGGGGTCTTTACTGGTCTCCTTCGGGCAAGTGTCCAGGGCCCAGGGTTTAGGATTTAGGGTTCAGGGTTTAGGGTTTAGTGTCCAGGGCCCAGGGTTTAGGGTCTAGGGTTCAGGGTTTAGGGTTTGGGGTTTAGGGTTTAGGATTTAGGGTCCAGGGTCCAGGGTTTAGGGTTGAGAGTTTAGGGCTTTTTTGGGCTCTTTGGAGTGTTTAATCCTCAAACAGATGCCGACATGTGTCTTGGCGCTTGCTGATGTGATTATGAGGTCGACTACCGGAGGCACATGGCTTCCAGACAAGCCACCAATCCGGAGGCAAAGCGCATGTCTCGCAGCTCGTTCCAGCGGAACAGAAGCCGCCCACCCAAAAGTGTCAGACACGCCAAGGGACAGGGCCGCCCGCCCCTGATGCGGCACCTGCTGCTGAGGGGGCGACGGGAAGAGCTTGCGTTTGACGCATATCTGAGGTCCCCTTACGGGGTCCCAGGTCGTGGAGCAAGACGGGCACTTCGGGAATGGCAGAACTGCCGCCTGTCCGCGGACGTACACGAGCTGCACGAGCGCGACCTCTGCTCGCAGGCGCAGGTGCAGCGGGGCCCCCGACGGCGGCGGCTGGTGACGGCAGGGCGCGGCACTCCGCCACATATCAAGCCGGTCACTGGGCCGACGTTGCGGATCATCTTTCTAGAACAGTGTGCGTACATGGCTTATCCAGGCTTGCCGGCAGGGATGCCCAAGTCGTCTGCATCCTCAGCCACATGCTGCAGGAGTACTTCGACTACATCGAGCTACTGGTATCTTGGAAGCTCAGTGCCGAGGAGGTGTGGCTTGGAGTCATATGAAGCCATTGTTAACCTTCAGCCGTAGGGAAAGCAAGTAGCCTAATTCCGGCCGATGACCAGCAATCGAATCCAAACCTTGTGGTAGTTTTCATGTCAGGAGCAAAGTCAACTAGTTGTATAATCTGCATTGCAGTATATCTTCTCGTCGCAGCGAGGATCATATGACACGACCATAGTCGTTGCGCTTGCGATAAACTCCCAGATGTTGGCATGTGGTTTCTGTTCTTGTCTTGATCTAAGCAGACATGGGTGGTTGTCAAAAATAGGGTCCCTTTTGGGGTACCCTAAATAATAGGTGCCGTATTATAATAAGGACCCCAGAAGGGACCCTAATTTTGACAACCACCCACATGCCTTTTGGCGTCCCGGTGTAGTGTAGTGTGATAGTTTCAGAAGACCCCCAAAAGTAGGACCACCGAAGGCCCAAACCCTCAACCTTTGAATAGTAGGATCCTTATCCATAAAACTCAAAACAGTACCCTAAACCCTAAACCTTATCGACCCTAAACCCTAAACCTTAGACCCTAAAAACAAAGGATCCTTGTTGTAGGGACCCCTGCAGAGGTTATTTTAGTTCTCGCGAACCTCCATCTGCCAGCCAAGGTTCTTCACTATCATATTGGAGCCTTAACAATTAGAATAGGGTTTGGGGTGTAGGGTTTAGGGTTTGGGGGTATATCATACTATAATCATACTACGGAACCCCCAAAACGCTTTTCGGAATAATAAGGTCCCTACATTACCCGGGTTAATGAGCCAATCCTTGCCTCAAGCCTCATATTAGGGATCTTGTTGCATGTTATAAGGAGTATAGAACTGATGGAATTGGATGGTACCCGAAACCCTATAAACCCCTATAATGTAGGGGCCTTAATATTTACCTACGCTATTTCGGTGTTCCTTATTGTGATTATATTAATTTTATAACCCCAAAGCCTATTCTAACTATTAAGGCCCCAAAATAACCTCGAAAAGATCCTTAAAAGAACGCTGTGGGGGCCCTGTTTTTTCACACGTAAGGCTTCATGTGGGTTTAGGGGTTTAGGGTTTAGGGTTTAGGGTTTAGGGTTTCATGTGCGATGTTCTGTGAATTGTCGCCTAAGTAACGGAAGCGTACGCAACCTTATAGATCCCTTAAAAGGAACCCTAAACCCTCAAGCCTTCTCGATCCCTTAGCGGAACCCTAAACCCCCTAATCCCTCAAACCTAAACCCTAAACCCTCAACCCTAAACCCTAAACCCTACCTAAACCCTCAATGAATGTACTCCAGGACCGTGCTAAACTTGCAGCGCTTCGTAGATCGAAGCACCCTGCAGAGCAGGCTCCGCAATGTGGTTAGGCCTTCTTATAGGGCTTACACAGGGTTTGGGGTTTTAGGGTTTAGGGTTGAGGGTTTTAGGGTTCGGGGTTTTAGGGTTTGGGGTTGAGGGTTTTTGGGGGTTCAGGGTTTTAGAGTTTGCGGCTTTAGGGTTTTAGGGTTCAGGGTTTTAGAGTTTAGGGTTTAGGGGTTTCGGGTTCAGGGTTTTGTTGGGCCTGCTTAGGGCTGTGGGTTACCTTCAGCGCTCCTTCCCCGTATTCGTCCGTCTTCCCCACGACACCTAACCTGCTCAGTTTTCGCCAAGTTGTGCGAAATGTTGAGCAGGCAAAAATGTGCGGAGCGAGCTAGCATGCGCTTTCTGGGAAACATTCACTGCGCAACAAAGCAACCAGCCTGCCCAAGTTTTTGAGCTAGCAAATCTGGGCAGGCGAGTTAATTTGGGTGAATGCAGAGAAGGACCCGTGAGGCTTTAGGCTTTGGGTTTGAGTTTTTTGGGTTTAGGGCTTAAGGCTTAGGGCTTAGGGTTTTAGAGGGTTTAGAGCATTGTTGGCTATAGTTTGGATAGGCCAGGATACATCTAGGCGTGAGGGTCTTGGTTTGAGGTTGTAATTTGGCCGTAAGATAGGATTTTGTTTGGTTTTCCTTCGCGTTTTGAGATCCCTGAACCTTAAACCCTAATTCCTAAACCGGACAGTTTAAGATATCGAGGCCTACGGGTTTCCGCCGTATGGTTGCGAGTTCTCACCAAGAGAGTCCATATATACTGCAGCTATGGAAATCGGTCCCAAAAGACCTTCCTTCTTATGGTTTGGGGGACCTAAACCCTAAACCCTAAACCCCCAAACCCTAAACCCTAAACCGCCATCATAATAGTCTATATGGATCCTGTCTCGACCAGGTGAGAAAACCTATTAGTTGTTCAGCCGCTATAGGGTTTAGGGTTTAGGGACCTATTATTCAATAATTCTACTTTCCAGTCTGTGCGGTCTCTTGCGACGACCTCTGGTACCTTCAGAGACAACTCTCCTTCCAAGGTGAGGGGTGGCTAGCCCCTGAGGGCAGCCAGTTGCCTTTCGTGACGTCCGCGGTCAGTTCAAAAACGGCGTTTTCGCAATTTTAAATGATCGTCGAGATTCGACGACCTTGCGGAGTGCGTCGCTGCCCAGCTGAAGGATGCATGTTGCATCACGAGAAACAAGCGCTCTTTCACAAAGAGTGTCGTTGGTCGCGCTGTAACAGTAGCCGACGCAATACTCAGCATGAGCACTTTCCTGTCAAGGCCTTTAAAGTTCTTTACGGCCGTTTATCTCTATACAAACCTTCCCTGCACATAGATATCTGCGCTCCTGGTTATAGATCGTGCTGCTGCGCGAGAAGAAAGCGCTCAAGATGCAGCCAGTCGGAGTCGCATTTTCGCGGGACGGCGACTTGCAGAACGTTCCCTAACCCTAATGACACCCGAAACCAACACAAACTCACAGCAGAGCCCCTCAGCCCTGCATTTATCCTCCTTGAAGAGTCAGAGTACGCTTTCTACCACGATATGAAGTACCCCTGACTACCCAGATCTTCCGCTACATCCCTTGACCTTATTAAAGTTTGATCGAACCCTGGATATGATTTAAGCAGTCGTCCTTCATTGCTGTTATCGGAACATCTGGGTATGGGGTCGGGGCTGGGTAGGTAGATTTAATTTCTTGAAGGTTTACATAAACCTACCGTAACAGGCCGGGGCCTGGGTAGGTAACCTTTGAAGTTAAGCCCCCTAAACATGAAACAAGCCTTAGCATCCCTTAAGCTTGCCTTAAAACTAACTCCCCCGAACCTTAAACAACCCTTATAGTATAGATCCCTCGAGCTTGCCTTAAAACTAACCTACAATCCCTATCAGCCCCACAAACCCGCCCTAAACCTGAAACAACCCTTATAGATCCCTTAAGCTGGCCTTAAAACGAAAATCCCCACTAAACCTGAAACAACCCTTACAGATCCCTTAAAACCCTTACCCCTAAACCCTTAAAGATCCCTTAAAACCTTAAACCCCTAAACCCTTAAGGATCCCTTAAGACCCTAAACCCTAATAGATCCCTTAAAGCCCTAAACCCTAAAAGATCCCTTAAGACCCTAAACCCTAATAGATCCCTTAAAGCCCTAAACCCTAAAAGATCCCTTAAAGCCCTAAACCCTAAAAGATCCCTGAAAGCCCTAAACCCTTAAAGACCCCTTAAAACCCTAAACCCTAAACCCTCATAGATAAACCTTAAAACCCCCCTTTTTTGGAGGTCGCTGCCTCCACTACGAACTGCAGCTCGTCCCAGCAGCACTTCCTCGGCCCTAGGGCTCGAGGCCCCTTCTCAAGGGGTTTGGGGGTTAGGGTTTAGGGTTTAGGGTTTAGGGACTTCGGGTTTAGGGTTTAGGGTTTTAGGGTTTAGGGTTTAGGGTTTAGGGTTTAGGGAAGGTATCCTAGAGGGTTCGATCATGTGCCATAGGGTCCCCTTAAAGGGTCGTATAGGGTTCGGTAATAAGGCTCCTTTCCTTGGGGGGCTGGTTTAGGGTTTGGGGTTTGGGGTTACGGGCTCGTCTTCTTGTCAGTTTTTGGTGTTCAGGTTCAGGGTTTAAGTTTCAGGTTTAGGGCTTGGGCTGTGGAGTTTGGGGTTTAGGGTGTATTTAGTTTGTTTCGTGCTGTTGTTGATGTTGCTGTCGTTACTGTTGTTGGGTCTCTTGCTGTCTGTGTTTAGTCTTTGTTAACTGCAGCCGGCTTTTACTGGTTGCTGCGCTTTATGTCTTCGGTCGCAGGCTGGGGGTGTGGGATTGGGCTGTTGAGTCAGCTGTACGGTTCTATAGGCAGGTTACGCAATACCGGGGCCTAAATAATTACTATTACCTAAACTATTTCGGGGGTTCCTTACAATAATAATAGTATAGTATACTTCAGATCTGTGTTCTAATTATGAAGGCCCCTATATTTGTAAATCAAAACAGCTCTACCCCAGAACCCTAAACCCTGCAAGCCCAAACCTGAAAGTCGTAACGACCAACATCCTAAACCATAAATCCCTAACTCAGAACTCTATGGGCCTAAATGTCTAAAGCATTAGTCATTGCAATACACCTTTCACCCCGACGCCCTGAACCAAAAGCGTGTAGGATTCAGGATTTTAGGGTCTATGGGATCTAGTAATCTGGTAAACCCTAAACCCCAAACCCATGATTGGGGTTTCAGGCCATTGCATGCTGCGTTAAGACTTGTTTGTATTCGAATCACCAAGGCGTTCATAGTGTAGTTGCCAGTCCATATAATATTTGATAATACCGCAATCTTATGTTAATGTTCACGTAATCTCACGTTAATCTCTTAGTCGGATTGTATCAAGCTTGCACCCGAATTAAGGCCAACGCATCTACTATCGGGGTGCATGGACCCTCAGGACTATATCCTTCCCTTCAACCCCTAAACCTTAAACTATATTCTCCCCTCAAGCCCCAAACCTTAAGCCCTAGATTCAAGCCGTCAAAAACTAGACACCCCGACACCCCTGATTGAGGAATATACCTGAACCAAAGGGTCATCCTTGCCATGATTTGTGGTAGCTTCCGATACACCCCAAACCCTAACCCATAAGCGGCTTATGGGTTATGATAAGCCCCTATTATAAGCCCCAAGCCCTAAACCCCAAGACCCTAAACCCTAAACCCCAAGCCCCCTGAACCCTAAACCCCAAGCCCCGAAACCCTAAACCCCTCAACCCTCACCCCTTAACTCTAAACCCCTCAACCCCAACCCTAAACCCCAAGTCCCGCAACCCTAATCCCCTGAACCCCAAGCTCCTCAACCCTAAACCCCTAAACCCTAAGCTGCTCAACCCTAAACCCTAAACCCCTAAGCCCCTCAACCCTAAATCCCCAAACCCTAAGACCCTCAACCCTAAACCCCAAGCCCCTCAACCCTAAACCTTGAATCCCAAGCCCCCCAACCCTAATATAGAAGCCTAAATCTACAAAGGAGCCCAAAGACCCTATTCTAATTATTCAGGGCCCTATAACCTGCTTACTGAGTTTCCTGGGGCCTCCAAGTAAACCCTAAACCCCAAGCCCCCCAACCCTTAACCCCAAGCCCCTCAACCCTAAACCCTAAACCCCAAGCCCCCTCAACCCCAAACCCCAAGCCCTAAACACTAAGCCTCAAGCCACTCAGCCCTAAACCCTAAACCCCAAGCCCCCACCCCATTCAGGGCCCTATAACCTACTTACTGAGTTCCCTGGGGCCTCCAAGTAAACCCTAAACCCCAAGTCCCTCAACCCTAAACCCTAAGACCCTCAACACTAAACCCTAATCCCAAGCCCCTCAACCCTAAACCCCAATCCCCCCAACCCTTAACCCCAAGCCCCTCAACCCTAAACCCTAAACCCAAAGCCCCCTCAACCCCAAACCCCAAGCCCTAAACCCTAAGCCCCAAGCCCCTCAACCCTAAACCCTAATCCCTAAACCCCAAGACCCCATTCAGGGCCCTATCACCTACTTGCTGAGTTCCCTGGGGCCTCCAAGTAAACCCTAAACCCCAAGCTCCTCAACCCTAAACCCTAAGACCCTCAACACTAAACCCTAATCCCAAGCCCCTCAACCCTAAACCCCAATCCCCCCAACCCTTCACCCCAAGCCCCTCAACCCTAAACCCTAAACCCAATGCCCCCTCAACCCCAAACCCCAAGCCCTAAGCCCTAAGCCCCAAGCCCCTCAACCCTAAACCCTAATCCCTAAACCCCAAGCCCACCCCATTCAGGGCCCTATAGCCTACTTGCTAATTTCCTTGGGGCCTCCAAGTAAACCCTAAACCTTAACCCCAAGCCCCTCAACCCTAAACCCTAAGACCCTCAACCCTAAACCCTAAACCCTAAGCCCCACAACCCTAAACCGAAGCCCTGCGCTGCAGCCTCCTGCTCGAGAGTTTTTCCCCTGCCGCGGAGAATCTCATGGATTCTGAAGTCGCCCCCCTGGATACCAGGCTCGCTTTTTAGGGTTTGGGGATTAAGTCTTTAGGGTTTCTGAAAGGGTTTAGGGTTCAGGCCTTTTCAGGGTTTAAGTCCTTAGGGTTCCGTTAAGGGTTCAGGGTTTAGGCCTTTGAAGAATTTAGGGTTTATGTCCTCAGGGTTCCGTTAAGGGATCTTTGGGGTTTGAGGCTTAGGGGTTTGGGGATTGAGGGTTTAGGGGTTTAGGGCTTAGGTTTGGGGTTAGGGTTTGGGGTTTAGGGTAACATTGAAATCAAAATGCAACGCAACAATAAATTGCTATTGAAACCCCAAGACCCAAGTATCGAATAATCATACACTCTCCCAAATAGTAATAATCTACAATCCGAAGCCTAAGTATCATATTGTTGGGTCCTTTGGACCCTAAGGAAAAACGCCCAATTTTATGAATCGAAATGAAGACTAGCAAAGCACCTTTCTTGTGTACATGGGGCATATGTTTATCCCTAAACCCCAGCCCTAAGCCCTAAACCCTAAACCCTAAACCTCAAGCCCAACACCCTAAATCCAAAAATCCTGGACTGCCGCGCGCTGCGTCGATCGTTTGCTTAGACCCATCAGACTTAATAAGTCTGTTATAAGTCGGGTTATAAGTGAGGTAACTCCATTTACGGTACTTATAACTCGTCTTATAACCTACTTACTAAGTCCCCTGGGCCTCCAAGTGAGGCTGGATGGCAGCTTTCTCGTGGTAACGGCCGCCTTTCAGACGCTCTTCATCTGCAGGATGGTCTACTCCTGTTGTCGCCATCGACGCTTCCTTAGCACGCTCTGATTAAGTTGGATTTAGGGTTTAGGGTTAAGGGCTTAGGGTTTAGGGTTTAGGGTTTAGGGTTTAGGGCTCAGTGTGTCGGGCTTAGGGTTTAGTGTTTAGCCTTAGGCTCTAAGGACTCCTATTCTAAGGCTCTTGGGCCCAAAGAACTACAGAAGGTCTTGGGGCTATTTTGAGCCTTAGGGTTTGGATCCTATACTTTAGGGTTTAGGGTTTAGGGTTTAGGGTTTAGGTTTAGGGTCTAGGGTTTACCCTAACCCAGAAAGGTGGAGGGTTTTCGAACTTACGTGTCCGAGGTACGGTTGCGGGGGATACTTCCCCAAACCATAATAGTAATTCCTAGTTTGTTTTAACAATCTTCGTAGTAATATCGAAACCCAACATTCTTCTGCATAGTTACTTAGGACCCTTTTGGGCTGTGTAGGGTATAGATATAGAAGTCGGATCGTGGGCTTAAGCCTTCGGGGTTTTAGGGTTTGGTGGCTTGGATCTCATGCGTAAGGGTTGAGAGTTCAGGGTTTAAGGTCTAGGGTTTAGGGTTTAGGGTTCACCTACAGTCTCCATTGTAGTTCCTTTGTGGGGATACCTTATAAAGTCCTTATTATACGATTGGTTAGACCAAAAAAAGGAATTACAACGGAGACTATAGGTAGGGTTTAGGGTCAAAATTTGACCTCATCGAAAAGCTTGTTTGGGGTACTTCAGGCTCTGCGGCAGCCCTTCTTTCCCTGAAGCCGAGCAAGTAAGGACAATATATGTGGAATGCGGGCCACGAAGTCATAAAGGCAATCGGGCAAGCCTTCCGTCAGCAGCTGCATGCGGACAACCGAAAGTTTGTTCTGCAAGAAGTATATGAAATCCGCGGGTATTTGGCACGGGTATATTTCAGATATTTGCTGACGATTTTTTCCTTGCTGCTGTTCGTTGTGCAGTGGCGAGTCTTTTACAAACATGACCGATATTCATCCGCTGTGACTGCCTGGACCTGGACCGCGGTATTTGGAGCTTGCGGAGTGGTAGAGATGTTTCCATATGTCATCTCCACACAGAATCTCAATGCTCCTTGGTCAGCATTACTGGGCTCTTGCAAAGAAGTTCGATCTGAGTTAAAGATTCCGGAGTTTAGGGCCTGGCTTTCCATAGTAAGGAAACCATGTTCTTGCTATACAAGACACCAGATGATGGTTGAGGGAAAGCAGCAGCTCAAATACCTAACCTCCCAAACCGTAAAGCCTGAAGCCATGGTAGTTATGCTGTATATATATATATATATATATGCATACGTGTATTACCCCAGACACGAAAAGGCTCTAACGCGTCTCACCAACAAGCGACGATAGAGACGTGAATAATTACAAAACATTACCAACATCATGGCCTAGACCTCCTCAATACATAGTAGACGATAGTATGCCCCCAAACCCTTGCAGTAATTATTGAGGCCCCTAATCCTGCCCAGATATTCCAAAATCCCTTAGCTAAGGACTACACTTCAAATTTCGTAGATCCTCAGTATGATTTACGGTATATCCCTTAGTTGAGGGATTTGGGGAAGATCTGGGCACCCTAAATTCCCTAAACCTTGAAACCCTAACCCCTAAACTCCCTAAACCCTAAACCCCAAACTCTAAACCCTAAACCCTAAACCCTAAACCCTAAACCCTATTCTACTTATTAAGGCCCCTACGTAGGAACCCTGGCCGCCCTCAACCCCAAACCCCTACAGAATCCCTTAAAAGGGCACTTTTAGGAACCCTGGGAACCCTGGCCCGGGACTGAGGCTGCGTATCTGATCATCTCATTTTGCTGGACAGCGCAGATGTCGCCCTGGCACGTCCAGGCAGATCGCACTGTGGAGTCTGGGCGTTTTTGGGGGGTTTAGGGTTTAGAGGTTTAGAGTAATATACTCTGCTATTCTGAAATGAAGTTTGAAGCCCCAAAACCATGATTAGATAATGGTCTTTGGCGGTCGAACGGTAGTATCTTTGGACCGTCTGGGAAGGAAGTCTTCGATGATTCATGATCTACCCCCTCTGGTAACGGGCTCTGGCGGTTTTAACTGTAAGTGTAATACAAGGGGCCCGGATAATTACCAATACTGATGTTTTTTTTTTGTGGAGGGGGGGTCCTCGTTGTATTTACAGTATAATGCGCCCCAACACTCTATTATAATTATTAATGCACCTATGCGTATATTAGGTTGTTGAGGTTTGGATCAGGATTGTGTTTTGTTGTGTTGTGGTTTGCGCGGGTTCAGGGTGTGAGGTGCTTGTACTAGCTGAAACTTCGAAACATGTCTAGATTCACAGCCGCACGGGTGTAGGTTTTCGGTAATGCAAATCCTAAATGATAAGGGGTCTCTGCGTAATCAAGACACGCACGATGGCACTATGCCTTTCGATTTTTGCGCCTCTGGGGTGCCCAACAATCACGAAGTAAGGGTTGTGTCATAAGTCACAAAAACGACCTCTCTTTTACTTGTGGAAATGCCGAGCACCGTTATGAATCTCATGTGGTTTGAGGTCCGTTGCATTACTTGACTGAGGGTCTTAGTCTTGTCAAAAAGTTCGAGCTGCAATCGACTGCTTCGGTTCAGAGCCAACCCGACTCCTTACACCCCTGAGCCCTTACCTCGGTCCTTGTTGGCTACAACTTTACATGTCTGTTATAGTAAAACTCAATAAGGATTAAACATGATCATCCTTGTTACCCTCGACCCTAAACCCTAAACCCAATAAGGATTGACAATGATCATTTTCAACACAGGGCACCAGTGACTGCGTCAAGCCTAAATCTGTGAATCCCTAGACTCCCAAGCCCCTTGAGCCCGGAGATTTAGCGGAAATTTGCTTCACATGGTGAGCACCGTTTTAAAACGTAAGGGCTCTGGATGGGTTGCCATAAGGCGAGTTTCGGGTTTTGGGCGCCAGGGTGTACAGTGCTCGGAATAATTAGTCAGCAAAAAAACGTAGCCCTTGAAAGGAACCCGAAACCCTAAACCC